CTTTACCTAAAACAATAAAATTATTAAATTTTACCCACTATAACAATAAAATCGAAATATATACATTATTATAAGGACAAAATATTCCCATAACTCTACTATTCTATGGATAAAGGTTTATAATTAACTATAGTGGGAAAATTTAAATTTTAATACGACAAGAAAATTTTACGATTTTACGTTAGAGCGTCGAAAGTTGTTATATTAATGTAATAAAAATAATTATGTATAATTCTGTAATTATTTTACAGTTTGTAACCACATATGAATTTAACCCATTGTATAGATACACATTAAGGGGTCGTTTGGTAGGGTGTATTAAAATAGTGATGAGTATCGTGTATTAATAATGTTGGTATTAGTTATGCTTACATTAGATATGCCAAGATTATTTCTTATGCAATGTTTGATTTAATGTAACGACCCGATCGGTCATTTTTTGTTTTTCCTTGGAAATTACCGTTTCCCCCCTCCCATGTCGACCACGAGTCGTTTTTTATTGAGTTTGAGAAGTTGGTTTCAAACTTTGAGTTAAATTTGATAAGTTTTGAGTTTGAAAGGCTAAGTTGTTAAGAAAGTGGTTTTTGGTGTCTTTTGGAGTTTCAAGTGTCGAAATGGGATTCCTCAATTCCACTAATCCCGAAATGTGAAATCTGATATGTGAGAGTCATTGGTTTCAGTTTCCAAGTCTTTTTTAAGGATTAGAGTTGCTAAATTATGAAATTATGGAATTTTAGCCTTTGGATTGACTTTGATCAATCGTCGGGGTTTGGATGCTCGGATCAAAATTTTGAGAGTTTCGTTGGATTTGGGGGATAATATTAGGTCTAGTTGAGGTCTTGGTTAATTTTTGAGTGGTCCCAAGTTTGTTTTAGCCTTTTTAGGCGTTGAATAGTTTCTTGTGGTTTTCACGGAGGTGGGGTCAAAGAGACCTCAGATTCGTGTTTTGACGATTCCATTGAATCTGGAACGTCGAGTATAATTGATTTGCATATGTGATTTATGTTTACGGGGTTCCGAAAAAATCCCAAAGGTCCTTTCGATGATTTTTGAGTTGGCTGATTTTCTATGTTTTGGTGCAACCTTCCTCATTCGCAGAGGGGAGGGGGTGAGAACCTTGCGTTCACGGAGTCTCGACCGCGTTTGTGGGAGGTCAAAGTGTTAACCTTCGTATTCGTGGAGGTCCAGTTCATTTAAAACCTACGTTCGCGGGCAGGGGTCTGCATTTGCGGAGGACCCCTGACAGTGTTAAACCCAATTTCCGAATTTATTCCCTATTTTTCATTTATGGACCTTTGAGAACTCGGTAGAGGCGATTTTAAGTGGGTTTTTCAAGATAAAATTATTTGTTAACGTTTCTTAACTCTAAATCTTTGATTACCCATTATTATTATTATTGAATTTATGAGTTTAAATCAAGATTTTGGGTTGATAAATTGGGAATTCTTCATGAACTCTAGTTTTGAAGTAAAAGTGAGTTATGAACTGATTTTTAAGTCCATTTTCGAAATGATTTTCCATAATGAGTTTCTAAAGCCTTGTGTAATGTTTTCAAGTATTGTTTTTCCAGATTCAAACCTTAATTTTAGAATTGGGTTTTGTGTCGATTGACCCACCTTTCAAGGGATTCGTTGTGAGTGTTGTTTTCGGAAAGTGATTGTACTTGCTTATTTATAGATTGCGTGACTTCGAAAGTGATTCGAAAGGGGAAGACTCAATTATTGGAGTGATTGTTGATTGATTTAAGGCAAGTGGCTTCCTAAACCTTGTATTCTAGTTGAATTTGTATGCTTCCTTCGTTGATTGTGTGTTGGGAATAATGGGGATGAGGTCAAGGGTTTAAATTGTCCAATTGCTACATCTATATGAATAAAAAGGGGTTGAAATGAAAAAAGGCTCTGTGTTGAACATGATGATGTGAATTGACTTATTGTAAACCCTTGTTGATTGATTAATGAAATACATGATAGAATGAATGTGGACTTGAATTGTATGAATTGTTGTCTCTCCCGTGTGGTGTGATATTGCTTGTGTGCATTGATTGTGACTACCGTGATGATTTATTATGCTGGGGTCTTTGTCGATGACTATTTTGATGCCGAGATCTTTGTCGACGAGTGTTGTGATGCCGAGGTCTTTGCCGGTGAGTGTTGTGATGTCGAGGTATTTCCTGGTGAGTGTTATGATGCAAGGTCTTTGCCGGTGAGTGTTGTTGTCCCGGGGTCTTTTCCGGCGAGTGTTAAAGCCGATGGAAAATGTTTCCGGCTAGTGATGATCATTGTGACTTTATACACTTGATGCTTATGTGTGACTTACTTGTGAATTGCAATTGGTGTGCTTGTTATGTGTGACTGAACTAATTGTCGTTGAGATTGACTTATTTGATTTGTATGATTGTTGAATTGTGAAGATTGAACTGTGAATATTGGGTATGTGAGCCGTGTATTATAGAATTGCTTGGTTGGACTGATTTCTGTGCAGGTTGTAGTTTGAGGAGGTTTGATTGGAGGGTAAGAGGTGTTTGATTTCTAGCTAATTACTTGTTTAGTAGATTGCTTGCTGGGTACCGTGTTGTGAGTACTCACTCTTGCTTTTACACTTGCGTAGGTTCCGAGCCCGAACCCGTGTGATCTCTTTCTCCTTCTATTGATCTCGAGGCTCGTTAATGACTTGAAGAGGTAGTTGCTTGTCATTCCGAGGACCTTCTTTTTCCTTTTCCTACACTTTGTTCTATTTGAGAAACAAAAATTGAGACTTGTATTTATTTCTTGATTTCGCACTTATGTATTTAGTGGCTTATACATGTGACAATCAAATATTGGGAATTTTAGTAGAAGAATAAGTTTTCCGCTTTTCTTTCGTTTTTGTTGTGTTGAAGCTAAGTTGCCTTGGTGCGAAGAGACAGGTGTCATCACATCCATTTTTAGGTTGTGACATTTAGTGTATTAAAATAGTATGCATTACATAATTTCAAAAAAAAAATTTTATTTACAAAAGTAACCTCCACAAATACGATGAGAAAAATGTGGAAAAGTTTTGATGAGAGGCATGTATATCTTTAATTATTTTAATGCATGCATTGAAATTCTTTGCATTATCAATTAATATCATAAATTTATATGTATTAGTTATACATACCTTAATACAAAGAAAAATATATAAGTAATATTTACATTAATTCTACATAAATTTAAAAAGGTGTACTAAACAATTAGATACTAATAATATATAAGAATAATTTGTGCATTATTTTTTCTAATGCACTATCAAAATAACCTCTAACATTATATATCGTAGTATTGGTAAGGTACTACCCTAGGTGAACAAATATGGCAAAGGAGCATTAGAGGCACACGAAGGGATCATAAGCAGTACTTATCTCTATTGAGGTTTTCTTTTAATTATATTACTCCCTCCGTTTCACAAAGAATGACCCTCTTTCCTTTTTAGTCAGTTTCAAAAAGAATGACCTCTTTCCTTTTCTGGTAACATTTTACTTTTTGCTTTCCACGTGACATGTTTAAGACCACAAGATTAAGGGCAATTTTGTACATTTGACATAACTTTAATTTAGGACCACAAGATTCAAAAGTCTTCTTTATTTACTTAAACTCCGTGCCAAGTCAAATCAGGTCATTCTTTGTGAAACGAAGGGAGTATTAATAAAAGACCGTTAGACATTATCGGTATATTTTTTTTAAAAAACAAAGGATCATGGGCAGCTGATCAACTTGTTGGATTTGGATTACTATAAATGGGAAACAAAAGAATTCAAATGAGGCGGGAAATGACAAATTCAAACATGGAGGAAAATGAAAAGTTTCTTTAATTTTTGGAAAGAAACTTTGTCCCTCATTTTAGTGAGAGAAAGCAAAATTAATGTGTTTATATATAGAAATATTTCTCTTGATTTTTAAAGAATTGAGAAGAGAGTTTTTTTTGTTTGTGTGTTATTGTCGTCACTCCACTCAACTTCACTTTGAATTTGGTCAATTGATTGATATATTTTTTGAACTAAATTTATTTTGTTAATATTAATATTTTATTAATCGATTTTTTCATTTAATTTGTTCTTTTGAATGTAACGACGTTCAATATTCTTTCGGATAGCTCTTTGTTTTGAACCCAGTATCTAACTATAAATGTATATTTTCCCGTTAGTTTTTCTAACGAAAATATCATGCTAAAAACATGTTATGAAATAATAGACAACTACAAGGCAACAAGAAATGTAGCCAATATATTAGTTAGGTTTATATTATACTAATATAATTGACATTTATATTTATACATGATATAAATGTCTATTCGTCTGAGCAGCAACAATGGAGTATTGAATACAGTAATAAATACTCCATTCTATCTCTTTTTAGTTGTTATGAATTCCTTTGTTAGAGTCAAACAATAAACATTTTGACTAACATTTTATTATATAATTTTTCATCATATTGATATATAAAAAATGTAATTTATAGTACTTTCATATAATTTTTTAATGTGATTTTTTTAATTTAAAACATCATATTAAAGTGATCTAATTTAATTTTTGAAAATTAATTAAATTGATTTTAAAAAAATGCAACATGACAATTAAAAAGGGATGAGGGGAGTATGTGTTATAGATTGTGATAGTTTAAGCATGTAGTTATTCCCTCCGTCGAGTTTTAATTGTCATGTTGCGTTTTTCGAAAGTCAATTTAACTAATTTTTAAAGTTAAATTAGATTACATTAATTTAATATTTTAAACAAAAAAATTCAGCTATTCAAAATCTATACGAAAAATACTATAAATTGCAATTTTTTACATATCAATATAATGAAAAATTATATTGTAAAATATTAGTCAAAGTTCTTATAATTTGATTCTAAAAGAAATCATGGCAATTAAAAGTGGAAGAAGGAAATAAACAAGTAATTTATGCCTTTTGCCTTGTTTAAAAGCATAATAACTCTCCTATAAATAGGCCAAGATTCCAACTCACCCGGCATGATATAACATCTTCTCTATAAATTCATCTGAAACTATACAACAATTTTGCTGTACCTCTACCTATATATAGATACAGCGAATGGCGGTGGAGAGAATCGCCTGCGGCGACGAACTGCCGGAAGGTTGTATAGCTACCGCACTGTCGTTAACAAGTCCGAAGGACGCCTGCCGGCTGGCGCTGGTGGCTTCAACTTTCCGGTCAGCTGCTGAATCTGACGCCGTTTGGGACCGGTTCTTACCGCCGGATTATTATGATATCATTTCCCGGTCCATTGACGGTTCAGATTCACTTAATGTCGGTTCAAAGAAAGACCTTTACTTATACCTATGTGATAATCCTATTCTCATCGACGGTGGTACCAAGGTTAGTAATTTATTCAACTTTTATAATTAATTGTTTTTTTTCGGTTATTATTAATTTTATTCAATATTCAATTTATTGTTGTTAATTAATTAAAGTCACATTGGAAGTACTCTTGAACTAAATGCATGCCACTATTTTATCCAGAAAATCAACAAAGAACTAGTAATTATTTATTTCCAATTTTACCCTTAGGAATTAGCATTGATAGAGTGAGCAGTATTTGTTGGATTGGAGAGAGATTTTAGGCTGACTAATCTAGATTTGCACTGCGTAGGCTCCATTTGCAGGATACTCCTATCAAGATTTTTTCATATCCAAAGCTCGAATCGAGACTTCTGGTCAAGAGGAGAGCATCCTTATCCACTATATGTGGAGAGAGATTACCAATGTATTAAAAGATCAAAGAACAAATAATGATGAATTAGTAAAATAACTAAAGGAAATGCAAATGGCTAATATGGTATGTAAGTAGAACGAGAAGGGAGTATGTGTATTCTTGGTATGTAGCATCGATCAAACGATTTGTTCTGAACTAAAAACCTAGAACTTTGATCGATCGATTAAGCATTACTTCATGCTTTAATTACCTAATTGGGTGCCTTTCAAATATGAAATCTCTGTGCAAGTTAATTATATACTATAAGAGAAGATCCTACGTCGCTCAAACAACCAGATCATTCAGTAGTTGAAAGATTGTTCTCATAACTATCTAACAAATTATGAATAAAGAAGCAGAGTGAATTGGGAAGAAGATCTGTTTGATAATTCAATGGAAATTATCCATGTTGCATTAGAGATAAATCTATATTTATGACGTATACCTATGTGTTTGATTTCCCTATTAACACTTTTTGCATTTTTTACTTGAGATAATTATAGTGTACATATGAAAACATAAATTGATGGGGAAATGATAATGATCGAAATTTGTTTCTAGAATTGTTATTTCAAAGATTGAATTGGTCCAGTAAACATAACAAAGACGTTGAAGTCTCTACTAAAATCTTGGTCTCGATCACTTGAAGATTATTTCATGCATATAGTCGTTATAAACGAACAGTTTGATGATATATCTATAATACATCATGTGTGTGAAAATGATAGTCTATCAATGTGAAAAATGAGGTTTCTAGTGTTTGTTGTACTTTTGTTTTGCATGGATATCAAATTAGTAGCTTTCAAAACAGTGATAAACTTATGGTTTCCATTTCAGGTTGCATAAACCATAGCCTTTCCTTTTCACCATTGCCCCTTTTTCCCTGTCTTTTTTGTCCTTTGACTGTTGAGTAGTAGTAAAGGGAATTGAAGAAAAACAAATAACTAATGGGACCAGTTTGCCCCCACCAATAGATAGTGTGGCTCCACCATCAAAGTTTTAAGTATATGAAAATGACATTCTTTATCTTTTTTGCTTTTGAATTTTGGTCCATATGTGATATAGTAACTCATTTTACTCTTGCTTTCTATGCTTAGACCCACACTACATTCATGCTTCATTTTGTTAGTTTCTTAATTGCTAAGTATCCATCTGACTGACATAGTAACTGTTGATGCAAATTAAATTAGAGCTTCTCATTGGAGAAATGGAGTGGAAAGAAATGTTACATGTTAGCTGCAAGGTCGCTGCAAATTGTTTGGGTCGACACGCCTAAGCATTGGAGATGGATTTCCCTTCCTGAGTCGAGGTATATATTTTAATGCACATATACACAACTTTTGATAAGTGGTTAGAGAAGTAAGGAGGGCAAAGGCCGCATTTTGTCATTTGATGTTTGATTGATTTTGTGTGGTAATTAAATAGGTTTTCAGAAGTTGCCGAGCTTCTTGATGTCTGCTGGTTTGACATATCTGTCAAAATAAACACCAACATGCTCTCCCCTGACACTAGATATGGCGCTTACCTTGTGTTCACGACAAAATCCAGGACCTGTGGATTTGAAAACCAACCTGCAGAGAGTTCAGTAGGGATTGCTGGGCATGAAAGATATACACATACATTTTATTTGAACCCTCAGGGAGGAAGGAGACAGTACAGATACCAAGTAGTCCCGAGACGGTTAGGAATATTCACCCACCACATGGCTCGCATATTGAGAGAGGAAACGGAAGATGCACCAAAAGGGTGTCATCCTAAGCAGAGAAGTGATGGGTGGATGGAAATTGAGTTGGGAGAATTCTTTATCAAGAGGGGACAAGAAGCTGAAGTAGAGATTAGTTTAACAGAGGTAAAGGGAGGTGACAGGAAAGCTGGCTTAATTATTGAAGGGATTGATATCAGGCCTAAGGAGTAAGGAGGGCAACAACATATCCAGTGAAATTCCACTCAGTGGGGTCTGGGGAAGGTAGAGTGTACGCAGACGTAACCAATACCTCCCGGAGGTAGAGATGTTGCTTCCGTCTAAAATAAAATGAGAAACCTGCCGAGTAGAAGGCTAAATCCCCAAGTATAATTCTTGTACCGACACACTCGTGGCTGAGATCTATAGAAGGAAGTGCACAATTTTCGTCCTTCTCATCTCGAGTACATTTGTTTGTTTTTATAATGATAGTGCCACAGCTAGCTTGCGTGCACCTACTGATGTATGTATAATGCTTTTGGCGTTTAATGTTTGATGTAATGCACCCCTTCCGTTGTTTGGCTACTAATATATTAATTTGTTTTAACTATATGTCTTAGACCGAATGCGGCTAAGTTGTGAATTCTTGTAGTCCGTTTACAGGGTGGCAAAATGAAACTCAACCCGCTCAATTCGTACTGACTTATTTATTAGCTCAATCCATTAAAAATTAAGTTGATAGGTAATGATTCATGAGAAATCTTGTCAATATATATAAATAGAGGTGTATGCACGTGGGGGGGGGGGGGGTTACCGGGTTCGACGTGAACCCATGCTTCCCTCCTGAAATCATATAAAGTAGTGTTAAAAAAATATTTAAATATAAATGAGTGAACCCACGCTCGAAGTATCATATAATCCAATGATGATTGTGTGCACCTCTCTAATTGAGGTTATAAATTTGAATCTTATATCTATCTTGTATAAAAAAAAATCTAAAATTGGCTAACACCTATATAAGTAGTTGTACTTTATATATTATATAGCTTTAATCTTTCAAAATTTTCAAGTTTGCCACATTGTAAATTTCTAATTTTTTAAGCATGGTGATTTCTTTCATATAATTAAATCAAATGTATATATTAAAACTAATTTTATTGGATGATATAACATACAATCAATAGGTTTACTCAATCTCAATACCTTTGGCACAATGTGTGTATGTATGTATGTATGTATGTATGTATGTATGTATGTATGTATGTATGTATGTATGTATGTATGTATGTATGTATGTATGTATGTATGTATGTATGTATGTATGTAACTCTATCCAAAGGTATATATACACGGACGTGCCTATTCACATAGGTCCCGACCCTAATCATGCGAAGGCTAATCTCAATCATTTTTTGACCTAAAATTTTAAGATTATAATGTTTTTAGTGATAAGAATGTAGACGTCAAATCGATCAAATTTATATCTTACATATATCCATCTTTTCGTAATAGTGTGGCCATCACGAAATCATTCAAAAAAACATAAGGGATGAATGTAAAATGACATTATGTTAATAATCTCATGCATGCAATGAACCTATTTGATTTATTTGTGGCCTCAAGTGTGGTTGTTCATTGTGATTGTGCATGTTGTTTGTGATTGGTGGTTGGCTCGGGACCACTCTGGTACAAATTTACTAATGGTTAGCTTGGGTACCATGCCTAGTACGAAATATCATCCGATTGGCTCAAGTACCTGATAGGCCCAAATTACACCTCCCGAAAGAATTATAAGCGGTCGTTGTCAAATAAAGAACCTAACTTTTGGGTTAGGGTCGATCCCACGAGGAATATGATTCATACTTAGGCTAACTTACGATTATCTACGTTCAATCAAATTATTTCCGAAAAAAGGTAACAAAAAGGGAGGTTTGTAAATAAAATAGCAGTTTGTTGAGTTGTATCAATAAATAACAAGTAAATAGGATTCGTAGTTTGAGATATCAATATAAGATGAAAACTAGGGCATAAGTGTTCCCCACAAGCTCTTAACGCATTATTCCTATTAATAGTAACTCTATCCTAGTGTTAACTTGCAAGGTTGATAAGTTGGGAATCTGTTAGACCCGTAGTCTACTTGAGCTAACGACGTGCAGGCATGGCAAGGATTCGGGCATTGGTCTTGGCATGTATGTGGGAAAAACAGCGCAGCTGTGCAACTATGAGTTAGTGGGCAACAAAAGAGTTCAAGGTGCTTGCGTGTTGGCAAGGCAGCTTGGATGTACAAGGCCTATGTGTGGGCAAAGTCGTCGGCAAGACAAGGTGGTGTGTTGGCTTGACAAGGCAAGGTTGTGGACTTGACGTTGGCAAGACAAAAGCTGAAATAAAACTAAGTGTTGGAAGCATGCTGAAATATTCTAAGTGTTGGAAGCAGGCTGAAATAATTCTAAGTGTTGGAAGTAAGCTGAAATATTCTAAGTGTTTAAAGTAGGCTGAAATATTCTAAGTGTTACAATGTTGTAAATTCGGTTAAGTGTTAGAATGTATTTTAATTCGAAATATATTCTATCTCTTAGAATATTTAGTGCTGGAACTTAGTTTGAATTATGTGAGGACAAGTGTTAGACACATGTCAAATGTAACCGCCGATGTAACTGCCGATACTGCCTTGTGTAGAAATTTTATAACGGGTGGAAATTCATCTAAGGCAAGGGAGGATGTTCTGGCCTTAGACAAATTCGTGAAACCTTTTTCCTGTATTAATATTAATAAAGGTTGGGAAGAGTTCCCGTACGTTGGCTGTGTTGTTACTTTTATTCATTTGCCTAAAAACTACGTTAAGTATTTCTATACTTAGTCAAATTCGTAAGAGTGTAAGGCTGAAGTTTGCAAGAGTTGTAAACTGCCTAGGAGTGGTGTTAAAGAAAAAAAATCGACCCTTTTTTAGTATCCCTAAGTGATTGGTCCTCCAAGCAGAGAATTTCACCACGCAACTTGGTCCGTCTACGGGTGTATACTTTACTAACCCTTACCCTTAACCCCATATTATCCTTCACATGATTAGGGTCAAACTATTAGATAGCGGATAAACACGTCTAAATCTCTGTTGTTCAATCATTTTCTCATTCATTACTTCTTTGGTCTGGCAAGTAGGAATGAGGCAAGTTCTACCGCTGGCCACCATTAAAAAGCATTCAAAACGAAAGGATTAACGATACATGCATACACTATTGTAGAATTACTTAATTATTAGTCATACATTGTTAATTGCTCATGGTTCCCACAACCCTAGTTGTAGATTTAGATACTCATGCTTAAGAATTCACAATTCATATTAGGGTTAATAAGATAAATCATGAACTTACAATTAGAATAGATGAATACCGTAATCTTGAATTGAAAATCAAAAGCAAATTGCATAAAACGAACTTCAAAAAGGTCCAACAACCCAAAAACGAAAAATACAACTTATATTATAGAAACTAAATCCTAAACCAAGTAGGAAAAGAAAATATAGGAAATTGCGGTTTGGGTAGTTTCGATCGACGGCTGTAAACGACGGACCGTGGATCAGCCAACGGTCCATGGTTCAGCAGTTGGCCAAAATTCTTGGTCTTCAATCGACGGTCATCACTTACAGTCCGTAGTTCAATTTACGGTCCGTCCTGTTCCTCCGTGGTTCAAGTACTGGAACTCAACTTTCTGAATCAAACGACGACATGTGAACTATGGTTCGTCATCCATACTAAGGGGCGTCGTTTGCCTCCGTGGTTCCACACTTAGTCAGACTTCCTTGAACTTACTTTTCATGCCCCCACTTACGGCTCGTCGATCAAACGATGACTCATGGTTGGGCTCCGTCACTGCCAACTTCTGCTACTTCAACTCTTTTCTTACTCAACTGCTCCAAACCTATTTCCTGGAAAAATTATATCAAAGTACCATCATATCTAATAACAAAATGCCCAAGACTCACACAAACGTCAAGTATAATGCATCAAAAATACCATAAACTCACGATACATCAACACCTTCAACTTAAAATTGTTGTTTGTCCTCAAGCGACAGACTAAACTCTAAACGATACTCATGTAGAAGCAAACACACAAACTCAAGAAATCATTTGGCTTTCTCTATCAACTCTTTCACGCAGTGCAAATCTTCTCATTTAGATTCAATTAGCTAACTCATGCGGATCAAAACATGACGTAGACAAACCAATAGATATCACTACATACACGGTCAACAATCACCAAGATACCAACTTTCCAACAATGTAACTAGTGCCCTTACCACAAAGAAATCATTTTTCTCACACAAAATCTGATATTTTAGCTTAAGGATTCAGTAAACACTCACACTCAGAAGTGAACTCAAATATAGTTAGTGCTCAATACCAAAGGCTTGCCCTTATTTTCACTGCATTGACTTTCCAGACTAGTTAACTAGGATCACTATAGTGCTTTCTCAGGTTGTAACATAGGCTAAGGTCAGGTGTGGTATATTTGGGTAGTTTAGTGACTTTTCTACTCTCCTTGATATTTCATTGGGCATTTACCTCTTTCCACAACCAATTTTGACATCATTTTATTTTTCTGACTTATTTTAGCACGGATGTGACTTTAACTTATCATTCTTTCTTGCTTCTTTTTTTTTTTTCATATTTTATTCAAGAATTTTGACTCTTTTATTTATTTTGTTTTCAGTCACATCTTTTACTATATTTTCTTTTTTTTCCCTCTACAAACAACTCTTTTCATACCCTTATGTTTCAGTTTATGTATTTTGCATGAGTTGAGGTGCAGGATGTCCTAGGTAGGACCAGGGCCAAGATTAAGGTAACTTATGAATTAGACACCCTCAAGTTAGGCTTTTGGCCTAAGTTAAGGTGTACAATGTCCAATGAGAGACCAAGGCCAAAACAGATTTTAGGGAAGGTGAGTTAGGTGTATTGAAAGAAATGGTATTCATTAGGCTCAAACATTTGGATTGAAGGGAGCATTTATTTCTTTTGGTTATTTTTTTTAAGCTTAAGTGGACTTATTATCAACAAAGGCCTATGATTATTTCACAATTCCCAACCTATATTATCTTAGCAGGACCAACGGGGCAAGTTCTAGATTGGCACAAACTGTATAAATATACAAAATCACCTCACACACACTTGGCAGATTGTTTCATTATTGAATCATTGAAGCATCTAGTTCAAGTTCTAGCTTAAGTCATGCTATCATATCGGTTCCTATCATATCATATGAAGATTCAACATATTCAACTCATTAAACCTACATATATAGAACAATTCAAAATTTTGGAAATGTATCAATTTTCATGCTCTTATGCCATCATGATTTCATTGTTTTAGTCTATTTCTAAACTTATACAATCCTAAACATACCGGTTCAATAGAAATGTAAAACAGTCCATGGGGAAAAAATAACATAGGCAAGAAAACCCTAAGGGAGGGTTATGAGTTGGGTTACTCAAACTTCACCCTCCCACTCACAACCCATTTGCCCCTTCCCCACAAAAAATATGGTGCAATTATCCTCAATGCATAGGAAAACTGTCAAACAAAGGGTGAAGCAAACCTATGGCGCGTAAGCACCGAA